TTTATATCAAAAACACGATCAACCTGTTCCCATTCGAGATTAATTTCGATTTCAAACACGACTTGACACTAACATAACTTTGTAATTTACGTCACACATATTTTACACTAATAAGCGGGCTTTATCATGGTCTATTCGCCGCTAACTGCATTTTAATTACCTATATGCATATTAAAGTTATGAATTATTTTCCATGTTATATATTAATCCGAAATTTCGGAACCGCGCGTCAAATTTATGGTCCGGCGCTCGACGGGACCACAGAGGCTGAGCCATCCGATAAATATTCAACATTATAAATAAACCGCGACCTAGACAAGAGCGGACAAAAAAAAACAACCACTCAAATGTAAATTATTAAATACTCTACACTCCGGCCCGCAGTAAACGTCATGACGATCAGCTGATCAAATATATTGCTACTATAAAAAGTGAAAACGCAAACTACTCTGCCCCCGTATAGCTGTCACTGTCCCGCGTATCGGTTAGCCGCGCGTGCGACAGAGACGCAGACAAGTAAGGCCGACCGTCGCGTAAAATGATATATTAATGTCAGCTGTGTTTAGGACCTCGTGAGTCTACAAAATAATAGATGGTCACAAATAAATTACTCGGCGAGTGCATTTCTGAACGAAATTCGGGCGGTCGTCGACCTCGACCGTGGCGCGTAAATCACGATTGATATACGACTTGCGAAGGTCGCCATCTTGAGTGTTGTGTTCGAAATTTGAATCTCTGCTGGATTGGTTTGTTTCAGAATGTGTCAAACACTGCCTTTAATGTTTAACTGGTCGTTTTAGAGGTTCTCTAATTTGAACCTTACATTATTTAGGTTTCATGATTCAATTTCAAGAGCTTTCTTAATAACTTACAGCCTACACTCCGGTATCATACTTTTTTATTATTATTCATATTGCAGTAAATCGTTTTCAAACATTTTGTAATGAATTCAATACCAAAGTATACTTTGAACAAATCTTCAGATCATTATTGCCATTTTTCAAAATAATGTTTTTATTATTAACATAACTTACTTAAAAAACATTTAAGAAGTGTTTTTGTATCAGCCGTCCACTGCTGAACATAGCCTCCTCCATAAGGAGGGGTTTGCCAATAGTTACCATACTTGGCAGGCGGGTTGGCTAAACAGAGTGTCATCCTACAAATGCCTCAATAAAACACATCAAAATTTTTTAAACTGTGCGCTTTTACTGTTTCATGAATTTGTAATTGGCGACTTTCATCACACAAATCACCATTTTCTTCATTCATATTAATTATATTATTTCTATTATATTTTCAGATCTTCATACATTACGACACGAGATTATGAACGAGTGATAATAAAAAACGACGACTCAGCCGACGACGGGACTTTTTTTGTCATTCATGCTCCATCTAGACAATTGCGATCTACAAGTCTTTGTAACACAAAGTCTAACATATATTTGCACAATTGCACGTAGTATATATGACTTTTTGCCTCGTAAAATATAGTTTCCTTTAAAACTAAAACGCATCAAAGTAGAAAGCCGACACGTACCTACATAATGCATTTGATAAAGCTGCACATACGAGTCGCTTATCAGTGCAACTGTTAAAGTGTACAAAGATGAAAATACATTCGTGATGGTAAACAAAAGAACTTAATTAGGCGGTTAATGAGCGAAATGCAATTGCAATTAGAGTAGATGTGCACTGCAGATGGCGCTAGATACTGTCAGTGTGACGCGTGATAAATGGTGTAGTGATATTGTATGACACAAATTGAACAATTAGCCGTTGAAATGTTAGATTCGCTGTCCGATTAGTGGGCTATGTTTTGTAGATGGCACATACGATATGATCGTTCAGTGAAAATGTTTAACTGTTTATAAAGGGGTGGGGGGGGCAAGGGATTGTTAGTAATGGAGACTGAGAATCCCATTGCTAGCAATATACCCAACCAGGTCGACCTCCTCGCGGTTCCCACTGGAAACTATCATGATTAATTCCTGATGAATTCATCATGATGGGCCAACTGGTCTGTTTTCATCCTCAACGATCACCCTTCACTGGTGCTCCGCCAGCGTATTCCGTTAGCGCAGGCGGGGTTACCATACCATTTTCATTCAATAAAAAAAAACTTTATAAAAGTAAATAGAAGATTTGCGATTCTCAGCGATTCTGATTAGATAGATACAATAGTTTTTATTATTTGTTTCGGATAGACTTTAAAAACAAAGGTTTCTAATTGGGTTGTATTTTTGTTGTTGTGGAATGAGCTCCCTGCCGAGGTTTTCCCAAGAGACTACAGCATGGGGTTCTTCAAAAGGGGGGTAAAGAGGTTTGTTCAGGGTCGGCAACGCGCGCGTAATATCCCAGGTATTGCAGGTGTTCATAGGCTACGGTAACCACTTACCATCAGGTGGGCCGTATGCTTGTTTGCCACCTCAGTGGTATAAAAAAAAACACATCATTACCAACCTCGTCGTATCAGTATATTTTTCAAAAAACATACATATATTTGTCAATTGATCAAAGGCGAGCCTTATATATATATACTTCGAGATGTCTAGAGTCCAAAACGTAAAAAAAAAAAAAACTGTTGCTTGTAGAGTATTATTTAAAAAAAGCGTGCCATTTTTCCTATACTATTCAGTTTGTGTTTCTACCGTGAAGCAGTTGTGTTTGCATGGCTGTGTTTCGGTTTGAAGGGTGGGATATGGCGTGAATTTACAGGGTACAGAGGAATAACACCTGAGTCCCCAAGAATGGCAACGCATGGGGGGTATCATGGGCGAAACAGTATACTCTGTTATGTCCATAGTACTGCTCATGTGTATAGGCGACGTTTACCACTTTCCATCAGGTGGGCCGTCAGCTTGTTGGCCATTCTAAGTTGTATAAGAAAAAAAATCAGTAAACAAAGCAGCATACGTATCGGCCTCTCCAGATCATTTCTACAATTACACTCAGAGAGTCGATAGGTATCAGTGGCTCTGTAATGGCTCGATGCGGAACCATTAATCAATTTTGGGGGTCCGTTGGCAGAGATTGTAATTGTCTTGATGGTAAATGGTAGCAATAGAATAGAAAATAATCTTGATTAAAATTAATTATATACACTTTTAAATGTTTTTTTTTTTTTATAGTTTGTCGGATCGGCTTTGGATTCGGATTTATTTGCCGAGAAGAAAACACAAGAAACTCAATAGACTTTTATAATATACTAGCTGACCCCGTAAACGTTGTTTTACCACTTATTGCGAAATATAAAAATCGCGATTAAAATACAGGAGTTGATCGTAAAACGGTGAAAATTTAAAGTTGTATGTATTTTTCAATGCTAAATTATAATAAAATAAAAATAAAAAAAATTGTCAAAAAAATAAAAAAAATAAATTTTGGGGTGGGTCACCCTTATCATTGAGGGGTATGAAAAATAGATGTTGGCCGATTCTCAGACCTACCCAATATGCACACAAAATTTCATAAAAATCGGTAAAGCCGTTTCGGAGGAGTTTAGTAACAAACACCGTGACACGAGAATTTTATATATTAGATTACAGTGAGATAAGTCGTGACTGTCTGATAATGGACGAAACAATTTATATAAAAAAAAATACATACTAAAATTATTAAACTAAATTTACACAATTCATTTTTAAGTATGTATATGTAAAAGAAATGCAAGATAAGAAAGGATTATTGAAAATTCGTCATCCTAAAGGTTTTGATATGTGTTTTGAAACAAATTTTCAATTTGAAAACTGAAAGTGTAGACAATTTGCTCAAATCCAATCAGTAGTAGGTATTCCAACAAACAGCCAAATATCTTTACATTTACCTTAATTGTATAAATTATGTATTAATAAAATATGGAAATTATTCTTTGTTAAATATTCTTTGTTTTTTTTTTACTAATATAGTTCGCAAGGAAAATGTTGCTAACAAAATGAGTCAAATTGTATTCTAAAAAAAAATAGTTATTATTATTATTGTATTTCAGTAATGTATGTACATTTATAATCATATTTACATTTGTAACATTAGTAGAATACTTTGCAAAACTAATTCGACGGAACCAAAGAGGTACGAGAAATACACAGATCACAATCAACGCACGAGCACAAAGCTCATTCCAATAGTAATTAATATTATGAATCGATACCGACACGAACAAATCAACACACAGACGGACAAGACGATAACACGATTTGAAACAAAGAAAAAATCAATCCAGCGCCATCCTTATCTAACAGTATACGCTGGAACAAGATGGAGAGCTTCAATTCGAACACAGCATGCGTACTCTATGATAAATAGCGGAATATAAAAGTTTAACATTCGATTGTTGATGTTTGAATTTTTTTTTTTTATTATTAAAATACTGGCAGTAAACAAATACTTAATATTTTGCGTCAAATTTGAAAACTTTGTGTTCGATTTTTAAACAACAGAGAGCTCATCAGTGTTTCTGATATACGACGTGGTTCCAATAAGAAATTCAATTTATAAATATGCGAATTAATATTCCATCTTGATAATATTGTAATAAAATATTGCGAAGAGTGCGTTTAGGCTTTTTTGCCGGCCTCCATCTATAAGTTTACAGTTCTGCACCATGCGTTTAATTACGGTAAAGGTGATTTTCGATTACGCGATCGTTTGGGCGGTGCAAAAAAATCGCAAGTGCCCCCCGGCCTATCATCGCAAATTAGACATTATGATTATAATGTCAAGAGCTAAATTCCTGTGTTTACTGCAAATGAGAGTTGTTCGAACGCTAATAAATTAACATGCTTTAATGACCTAATCAAAGTTTATGAGTCGAGTCGAATCCCCGGCGGACTCCTAGTGTTGCCCGATTGACTTATTTTGCGTAAAAAAAAACCACGCGGAGACCGTAATTATTTTCGAGTTTTATGAAGATTGGAATTTTTGTTAACATGATATTTTTACGGCGGCCATGATTTATGTGGCTTCCTGCTGTCTCCCACAGATGTACGCGTACTCACCCATCGCATCTGGAACAAAAGATACATATTTTTAATGACGTACTCATAATTTGTACTGGACTAATTATAAATTGAGGAGATACTATTACTTATAAGCTTAGATAATATAGATAGAGCATCGAGTCTCAAAAACGGGTCGACATTTTATCAGCAAATTAACAAATTAGCTGACTCTTTTTTTATTAATATTCTATATACTAACGCACACAATGTATCTTGACGTATCTACATTTAATTATTTAATAAATAAAATTATTTTCTGCACATTAAAAAGGTGCAGACTTTATAAGACAAAATAAACATAGAAGTTATAAAGGAATCATTCATAACTTATTTATCGTGCAAAATTGTATGAAAAAGTTGGCCCGCATTTTTCGAAGCATTTGTATGGAGACACTGTATCTATATAATCTAAGCTTATTATAATATTAGTATTATATATTAGTAAAGTACATATGTACCAATTACAATAAGTCAGCGCTGATGATTCACAAAACTAATTTAATTCTGGAAGGCTTGTAGATATTACAATTTTAAATACACCTATTGCTACTTTCAGTATTTTTTTTTGATGGGTAAAAATGGTATGGTAACCCCGCCTGCGCTAACAGGATACGCTGGCGGTGCACCAGTGAAGGGTGATAGATGAGAATGAAAACAGGCCAGTTAGCACATCATGACGAATTCATCAGGAATTAACCATGATAGTTTCCAGGGCGAAGCGCGAGGAGGCCGACCTGGTTGGGTATATTGCTAGCAATGGGATTCTCAGTCCCCATTACTAACAACCCCTTTCCCCCCACTACTTTCAGCGTTATACAAGAAACACGGGTCCAATGCAAAAACAAAGATGTACAAAAATAAAAAAAAGAATCATTAAAATCGTCATGGAATTGGCATAACAAACAAAAACGTTTAGTCAAATCAGAAACTCGCTCACTATGGAGTAGGTTAAAAAGTTTTGAAAGAGCAATAAGTACTTTTTATATACTTAAATTTAGTATTAAAAAACACATTCACTCTTCACGAATCACTCAAAATTTAACACATATAAAACACCATGGGCGTTAAAGCCAAAGCTTGACACCATAGCCATGGAGTTGTTTTCGTCTACAGCCAACGGTTACCACTTCGTCACTTTCCATTAAATGACCCATAGCTTGTTTACCACAGCTACCAAGATATATAAAAAAAAAAATTGCAAATTATACATTTATATAAGATTAAACAAATAATATTCCATTTGTAAGGCAATTAAAATGATGAGAACCCATCATAATTACCATATAAACCACATAAAACTAACATACCTTGCTGTGGAACGTGATTCCAATTTGAAGTCGTATCGGTTTTATTCGAATTTTATTACGGTAAATTTTAATAATCAATCGAATGGATATGAGTGAAATTAGGCCTATGTATGTATACAAAATTCGCCATATATAATGGGCATAGAATGGGCCGCCCCTACCTTTCACGTGGGTGTCGTAAGAGGCGACTAATGGAGGGCGAGAGATGGACTGCAGCGTCCCTCTTAAAACATCTCTAAAAGCTTAACTGCGGTTGCCAACTCGCCTGCCTAGCGTGGCAACTACTGGCAAAACTCCCTTTATGGGGAAGGCTTATGTCCAGCAGTGGACTGGTGAATAAATGTATACCAAATAGCTGTTAATTAGCTCAAATACGTGACGAATTAAATGAGAACTTCTCGAGTGGTGACCGTGTAGCAAATGCAGTGTAAGTGACACGCACTAGTTAGAAAGGAACTCGATTATATATGAAAATAAATATTATGTAAATAGATTTTCAATAGACTTTAAAAAGAAGGGTCAATTTTATTGTTCCTTTTTTTATTTTTCTCAATTAAAAACCGATTTGGGATTTATTTTTACCTAAAAGGTTATACTTACAGATTGGGTTCATAGAATTTTTATCAAAATCAGTTCAGTGGTTTAGTTCCTAAATAAAAATAACTGGTTTTATCAGAATTGAAGTAGATTCTTTTAGAGACACAACCTTTAATTATTGTGTGTGACATGAATTTTATATCAATTTTTAATAAATTCTTTCTATTTCAAAATATAATCAAGTTATAAGTTTAGATGAAAGGTACTTGAAGTATTCGGATTTATTGCAAGAAACGAGTAGTGGAAGGCAATAAACAAGATAAGTCGGATAGACAAAATAGCAAATGAGAAGGTGCAGAAAAGAGTAAATTATTAAAGAAGAAAAGATTACTAATGATAATGAGAAGAAAAAGAACAAAATATCAAGACAATTTCTACGATATGATAACTTTAAAAAAACACCGTCACCTCTTACGCCACCCACGGAAAAGGATAGTATGGCCTATTCTATCCCGGAATCACTCGGAAACTATCTACAACTACTAATTAAAGTTTGGTGAAAATTAAAAAAAAAAAACAAGAATCCAGAATTGATGTTAACGGATAATTATAATATAACACGTGATCGTTCGAAATTCTTAAAATATCGAATCCCAACACGCTCGGTAATCTCAGTGATAACATACTGTAAACAAGCATATCGGACTGCTCCACTGCGTTATCACTCTTGAAGAAAGTTATCATAGGCTTATCATGATAAATGGGATCGGTTGACAGTTGATAATTGACAGAATCGGACGTTTTGACAGGTGGCTGAGTGACAGTTTTTATGGCGGGAAATTATCGCGCGCATCAAGCAATTATTATGATTTGATGACCTTGGATTTATCACAAAATGTATTCATTATAAATATTATATCTACCTAATGATTTTCTAATTAAAGGTCCACAATTACTTTCGGGTAAAATCTTTTATTGTTATTTCCTTTGCCCCCTTTTTCGGATGCCCTTACATCCTTCTGATAAACCGAAATATTTTAGTGATTTAGTTGTTATCTTGCTGTAGTTCATATCACTGGTTATTTGATTACAATTATTTTGTTCAATTCCGCTACCATCAGTATGTGTGCAACTGCCAACACTCAAAGATTGACTATTGTATGTTAAAATGTCGCAGTTTCGATGCCGAACAGTTAACATTAGGCTTCAAGCAATGATTTAATTAATTTTCTTGAAGATTTTTTTACAACACAGGGGGCAAACGAGCATGCGGCTCACCTGATGGTAAGTGACTACCGCCGCCCATGATCACTCACAACACCAACAGCATTGCAGGTATGCTACCGGCTTTTTAAAAGGAATATGCTCTTTTAGAGATGCCTCGTTTAGAGGTGAAACGCGTGTCTCAAAATGTGCGTGAATAAAATGGCAGTCGGTGATTGATAGCTAATATGGAAGGCTGTGGAACTTCTGATAGTAATAGTGGTGGTCAATCTTGGAGTGTTAGCAGTCGCACACATACTAATGGTGGCGGAATTAAACAAAATAATTCTAAACAAATAACCAGTAAAACCAAAATATTTGAGTAACGGAATAAACTGGTGGTAGCAAAGCAATACCAGGGGGTAACACTAAACGTCTTTCACATGGTCCCCATCCTACACCCTGAAGACCATAATGATAAATGCCCTATTGATAATCAAAGTTAGTACTCCTGTACAAGTGTACAAAATGATCAATAAAATCGATTTCCATCAAGCGTACCTAATCGTCACTTCTCATCCCTCATTGACACTTCTCCAGTATATACCGATAGCGCAAGCGAGGTTACCATTCCATTTACGTCCCTTAATAAAAACCAGAACAAACATTGTAGGATAATTATTCATAAAAACAGCATGGGGTTCTTCAAAAGGGCGGCAAAGAGCTTTCTTCAGAATCGGCAACGCGCGTAATACCTCTGGTATTGCAGGCGTTCATAGGCTACTGTAAGCACTTACCATCAGGTGGGCCGTATGCTTGTTTGCCACCTCAGTGGTATAGAAAAAATTATAAAGATAAAATCTTAACCCTCCAACCGCGCATGTGAGCACATCGTACCAAAAACAGCACGAACTTGAAAAATAGATCTCTCTATGTCGCGCACTGTTATACTGTGCAGTTTAGTTAAGTTTCGATGCGGAGAGCGTGCTGGCTGGTGCCCGTTTTAATTCTATTTACATTCCGTTCGGGACGGGTCCGCACGACCGGCCGCCGGCACCGTGCACGGTTAACACTAGATCGAGTTAGGTCCGTATTTTAGGCTACGAGCTGAGTAGAGCAGTTTGTGACGGTACACAACATATATTATTAGTTTCTAAGCGCATTTTTTCGATTTTATCCAAATAAATTAAGCCAGTATCTTTGTATATAAATTACTTGTTACAACGACCAGTCTCTCTGACTATTTCGTATTGTTTGAAGGTAGAAACACAATTTAATTAAGACGCTATTATATCGATCGTCATTGTCGATTCAGTGGTACTCCCTACCCAGTTTTAATAACTGGACATGATTCTCTGTTCATGTAATTTTTTTATGCCACAAATATGGTAAACTAGCATACAGCCCGTCTAATGGTAAACGGTTACTGTATGAGCCTATAATTGTCTGCAATACTAGGGAGATCACGTGCAGGTTTTTATTAATTGATGATAATGGAATGGTAGCCCCACCCGCGCTATCGGTATACACCGGCGGGGCACCAGTGAAGCATGATAGGTGAGGATGAAGCAGGTCAGTTAGCCCATCGTGACGAATTCAACAAGAATTGTTTATGATGGTTTCCAGGGGGAACCACGTGGAGGTTGACCTAATAAGGCATATTGTTAGCAAAGGGGCTCAATTACTAACAATCCCTTTCCCTCAGTCACGTGCAGATTCCGACACTGAAGAAACCTTTATATAGATTTTTTGAAAAATCCCATAGTACTGTAGTCTTTAAGGTAGTCTAGAATTACCACACTGGTCAACAAACTTGGAATAGAGTTTTAATTTTGTCCCTCTTCTTTGGTTCCAGTTATATGTAACTACATTCTGGGAATGAGAAGAAATAGTAATTCGTTTTATTTTTATTTCGTCACCGTTAAAAAGTCCCCCTATAGAAACATTTTAATAGCCTCA